AATAATGTTTTAATGAATACCATTATTGTCTAATTCCATATAATGTATTTTTTCCTATATCCTTTAATAGGGTCTGTCTTCTTAAGAGAGAGGATCTCTTATGTCTTAAGAATAGAAGACTTAGTGAATGTTAATTGAATACAATGGAAAGAGCTTTGTATTAAGAATTGGGAGGGCCAGGGTTGTGGCTCAGTGGTAGAGCGCTTGCCTAGCATGTGTGAGGCACTGAGTTCCATCGTCAGCACTACGTAAAAATAAACAAAATAAAGGTGTTCTGTCCATATACAAGTATAAAAAAAAATTTWAAAAAAAAGAATTAGGAAACTTAAGTTTTTAGATTTTTTTTTTTTTCCCTTGAGATGGAGTCTCACTATGTTGCCCAGCCTGGTCTCTAAAACTCCTGGGCTCAAGCCATCCTTCTGCCTCAGACTCCTAAGTAGCGGGGATTATAGGTGCCCATCACTACATCTGGCCATGCTTATTTCTGTTATTACTTATCATTTTTACCTGGTATAAATCACTTATTTATACCATAAAAATGAGGTGGAACTAAATTGTCTCTGATATTATTCTGTCTCTGACATCTGTGATTCAGACATTTCTGTTGAAATGAGAATTTTTATCTAAAAGATGTGTTTACAAGTTGTTTTTCATTTAGCAGTTACTTTCTAACAATGACAAGTTTTCTGTAATGCTTTTATGTGTATAATCTTCAAATTTCAATGTGGTTATAATAAAGAATGTAACATCTGATGGTTTTTTCTTTTCTAATCAGCATGTTGATTGGGATTATAAAGTGGTGTGTATGTGTGTGTGTGTGTCCTGTAGAAAGAGAATAAAAAATGTCACGGGATGTTTTTGTATAATAAGCCTTGTTGACTAGCGTGGGTAAGGCATAATGAGTTTAGACTCTAAGCTACGGTGTCTTCAGGTTGGTTTTTCATAGGTAATACTCATTTAAAAACCAAGATTCTGCTCCTCTTTTTCCTCACCTGTGTTGGGCAAGACCAATTGATCAACATCTCAAAAAAATAGGGGTAGGGAGTTATTCTTAAATTCCTTGAACATATCAAATACCCAGTTCTTAAATCACAAATATCACTAACGCAGCATTGGGTGGAACACCACAGTTTATTGAGGAATTTTCCAGATATAATCATAGCAAAAAAAGGAATTTGCTACAACTGAGGGATTATAACAAAAACAGGTGTTCTTTTGCAATCCAGACAACTTTGGCTCTGCACAGAAGTTATAAATTCTACTGACTCACTTTGGGACTGTAGATGCTGAAAAGTTTGTAGATTATGACTAACGAAGGTAAATATTTCTTTTGTGTGCCATTTATTTACTTCACAGTTTGCTCTGAGCAGTTAAGTTTGAGGGCTTGGGTTGTCTGTGTAGGTAACATCATGTTGGGACCCTGGGCCTAGAGCTCCTTAAGCTTTCAGGTAGTCCTAGACTAAGGCACATCTAGTAGCAGAAATGACCAAGTTTTGAAAGAGCTGCAGCAGATTGGTAGTAATGAGAGGTTCTCTTTGATGCCACAGCCTTCTTGTAAAGAATCTAAAGGAGGTTTCCAGAAGATAAAGGGATTTTAAAAGCAGTGTGCTGTCTCCCAACAGTGCCCTGCTTGAGGCCTTTAGTGCAGGAGACGAATAGATGCTACTTTTACAGGCCGCTTGCCTCTTTCCAGAAATAGAAGCACTCTTCCCAAGAAATCATCTATATCTATTTATATTTCCACCACTCTGGCTTTTTGTTTTGTAGTGGTTTTTAGAGTTTTCTCTGTGTCTTATCCCTGCAGCTAGGTTTTTCAAGCATTTCTGGGATTAAAAACTAGTGTATTTTTAGTTTGCAGTATCACTGACCTAGGGAGGGTCCCTTTCTAAGGGTGGATAAAAGGAAAGATAACCGGTAAGATTGAGAGAGGCTGCTGTGGGAGTGAGGAGAGACCTCCTCTGTCCCCAGTTTCACCTAATTTGGGTATTCATTCTCTAGACTTCGAGCCCATTAGGAGCTTCCTGTCTAGGTGGAGAGAAAGACGTGTCCACAAATAAATAACAAGGCAAGCTATTGTAGTACGACAGGGTGCTTTGGGAGTGGAAGCACAGAGTTCTTACCCTGGGCTCTAGGAAGACAGCATGATAGGAGAGGTGTATTTAATCTGTGTTTTGAAGACTGGATAACATGGTCTTATTTGCTTTTAAATTCCAGGTTATTGTCCTATTTCTTTCCACCCCTACTTCCTACCTTCTAATTATACAAAAATTCTGTTACCATTAGTTATTGACTTAAGTTATGCTTGCCAGAGAACATAAGCATCGTTATAGTCGCCATCACTCCTGTGGCATACAAAAAAAAATAGCATAGGATTCAGCGTAACCCCACATCAATAGGAGGTGTATTAAAATGACCAGGTGGTACCACAGAAAGACAGTGAAATTGGAATCAGAACACCCCAGTACAAGTCCTTTGGGGCTGTAGATACTGAAAAGTTTGTAGATTATGACTAACGAAGGTAAAGTCCTGGCTTCATCTCTTAGAAGTTAATACATTTCCTGTATGCCCAAGAACCTAAGAAGTCTATGGCCTAGGGAAAATAGAGGAATTGACAGAATTAATGAATTATTAGACTATATAAAGCATTAAAATATTCTTAAAAAGATACTGTGAGCTTATGGGAGGTGTGGCCTCAGCTCTGTTCTTTGGAAGAATATGTCCTTCATTACTTTTGTTGTTCAGATTTGATAAGAATTTCTACTTAGTTGCTTTATAGGTGAAAATACAATTCTGAAAAGAAACCTAAAATTTTGACTTTTAACAACTTTAATTATTTGTTTCTGCCTCCATTTCTGCTTCCTGCAGGAGATAATGTCTTCCCCAGAGTAAAGATCTTTTTGAAATGGTGTTAAATATTTGAGAGTGAGGTTTGCTTCTGCCTGTGCTGTGTTCTGGCTTGTGAAGAGACCTTATCATCCCTGCAGCAGCTTTCCCCACGTGTCCTCTCCTGGGCCTTTGGTGACCTGTGCAACAGGAAGATTAGCTGGGAAGTTTCCCCTTTCTTCTAGACAAATTCCCGCTGGTGTAATTGCCTACCCTCTAGTTTGTCCCAGTGGTACAAACTAGTATTGTGCCACCTGGCTCGCTAACTTAAGGGCATCACTTAAGAAAATAAGAAATACTGCAGGCTTTTTAAAAAATATCAGTTAATAGGGGAGGTTATGATATAATTTCAGAATGCCTATTTTATGACATTTCTCATTTACTTTTAAAAGTATACTCATTTAGAGTTTTTTTGCCCTCTATTTTCATCAAGCATCATGTAGTTTGCTTTCTCCATGATATGTACATATTTATTTTGATTTTTTCAAAAAAAGTTTCCCTTAAGCCCAGTAATTGCTGCTGGAGGAAGGTGCGTTTCATTTATCCTGTGGCACTGTGTCCTCCTCCTTACTGATGTCGTGGTACCTGCCTGTTTGAGAGGCATGGAACTTTCTCATTGTCTTGTTTCAGAGAAGTCAACGCCTGAGTGTCCTGTCTTAGGCAAGATTTGATAATAAGACGTGAGCCCATGTTTGACTAGTAATTCATCTTTTAATAACTCTACTCATTGTTTACCTTTTGACATGTTGCCTCTGAATAAAACCTCATGGAACATAGAAATAAAAAGCCAAAGAGTTTGAATGTCTAAAATGAAAGACTTTAGAGTTAGTCTTCCAATTCACTGATTCTTAACTGTCTTAATAATTATTATTCATATTCAAATAAGTTCGTTTTTACTAACAATTAAGATGAAGAAATGAGCCTGAATAGTTATAAAATTGGGGAAATTTTGTGATTTTTTACTTTTTCCACAAAGAGCTACAAACTTCTTTAGAAAGACGGAAAATAAAGGCAAAAATAAATAAATGAATGAATAGGTAAAATAAAGAAAAGAAAGTCTCACTCACCCTCTTCAAAGAATTGAGAAAGTTGTAACAGTGGGCACTGAGAAGAAGGAGGTCAGAGATGTTGGGGAGGAAAGGTCTGCATCCCCAGCTGCATTATCTGAGCAATGTGTTAAGGGACACGTGGCAAGGATTTTTAAAGGAGGTGGCCCAGCTTCAGATCCTGGTGTGGATTTTATTAGCTCTAGACCCTTGGTTGGATAAGCTGTTTATTCCCTTTGAACTTCAGTGTCTGTCTGTAGAATGGAGATGATAGGGCACGCCACAGAGAGTTAGTGGGAGACTCCATACTGATGAGTATTTGGCCGATGGTGGCCTCTGTCCAAATGAGCTCCTGTCCCTCACCTCACCTACCCACTGAGCTAGTGGTCTGACTTCTATGTGCCAGCACAAAAGTTGTTAACTCAAAAAACTTAAATCTAAAGTGGTATACTAATCTGTTACCTAATTTAAATGAGTACTAAAATTTTTTCCCAATTTTATAAGTTATTGCTAAGATTAAACAGACTTGGTAAAAAGACTTCTGTGTATATAGAAGACATTTAATCTAAATTATTGCTATGATCATTGCACGTAACTCCCTTTTCCCTTTTGTTTCCTTAAGACGACTCTAAAATACAGAATGGGAAATAAATAACGCAGATGGTTTTAACTTATGTGAAAAATGGTTGCTAGGAATTGAAAAATAGGTTTTCATAGTTGAAACCACTGTTTTCCAGGAGATGATTGTTGCAGCATGCTGCACGAGGAGAGTAATGATAATGAGGATAACATTACTACGATGCGCTAGTCACTTATGTCAGTCCTGTGAGGTGCAGGTTCCGTTATTATCTGCACTTTGCAGATAAAGATCCAAAGCACAGAGAGGTTAATAGCATTCCATTTGTGTAGTTAGGAATAGCAGGGCCAGGATTTGAACCTAGGCAGTCTGGCTCAAGTCCATGTTCTTAACCATTGTCTCACACTGATAGAACTGAGAGAAGGCAGTCCTCTGAGTGGGAGTAAATGACCCAAAGCTGCAGCAGGTTTGTTGTTTTTACATTTGCTCTACAGGTATTCTGAGAGAAGCCTCACAAAGTGTATTGGAATTACTATTGAGACTAGACCAGATTATTGCATGAAGCGGCACCTAAGTGACATGTTGACCTATGGCTGCACAAGGCTGGAGATTGGGGTGCAGAGTGTCTATGAAGATGTGGCCAGGGATACCAACAGGTAAGGTGGCGAAATGATCTTTCACAAGCCTTCCTGTCCCGATGGTTCTCTCTGCATGCATACCAGTCTTCTCTTCTCTCTGGCTGGCTCAGAAAGAAGTTTGGGTTCCTCCTTTCCAAGTCTTTCCTTCTGTTCATGCTCTTTAGTCCATCCTCTCTTCCCTTTGTTTTTATTCTTTCTCTGTGGATCCTCTTCCAGTAGCCTGTACACATGCTGGTACCACTCCCTGCCCTTTCCTGTGGAGGAGCAGGACATGGGATGCAAAGTCAATAGTCGCAGTAGGTCTGCAGCAGGAGAGAAGGCCAGCAAAATTGGCAGAAAGAAAGGGGTTTAGATAAGAAGGCAGTTGGATGATGTTTAAAAAATTAGTTTTTGTGAAAATGATTTCATTTGTTAGGGAAGTAGAAAAAAGTTTGAGACAATGGGTATATGAATTAGAAAGTGTAAAAAAAGGAAAGACTTAGGAGTTGGTAGAGTCCAATGAAGTCTCTTCCCCTAGAAATACACATTGAACTGAAGAGAAAAACTGTTGAAGAGCTGCCCTCTTTCCAGGCTGTGCTGGAGAAGTCTCTGTGGAGAGGCAAAGAGAGTTTCTCCAAGGTCAGGGACACTTTCTGAAGAAAATTATATCTAAACTAGAACTTAAAAGGGAGGAGAGGAGTTCCGTGTAGAAGAGGAAGGTTATTTTAGGCAGAAAGAAAATACCATCAGACTCCTGAGGATGGAACTGCATGGCAAGCAGAGGACTAATTAGGAGGGGCCCTAAGAGATGGCCTCTGGAGCCAGGCCCTAATCAGCAGACAAGCTGTGAGCTAAGATAGGAATGGGTCTGCATTTCAGAAAGCTCACTTTAGTTCCAGTATGGGAGGTAGATTAGCGAAAAGCAAGCTGAAGGGAGACAGACTGGTTAGGAGGCTGTTGGAGTAATTTAAGCAGGAAATACTGATGTCCTGGAAAAAAGTGAGGGGCAGTGTTTGGTGACTGATTGGAAATGAGAGTAGGAGGGAATAGGAAGTCAGAGAGCACAGAAAGAAGATGAGTTTCATTTTGGATATGCTAAGTCGTAGGTTTTTGTGGAACAACCAGTTGAAGGTTTTTGCTTTAGAACAGAGCTGGCCAGCAGAACATACTGCATGGATCAAAATGTTCTATATCTGCACTCTTCAGTAGGATAATGCAACCCGGGAACTTTCCTTTCAATATTTCCTTTCAATCCATTTAAATAATTTGAAAAACAACATGTACCTAGTGGCTGCCGTATTGCACAGTRTAACTTTGAAGTGTTGGGTTTTGGTGTAGAAGTCTTAAGAGAAATCTAACTTTGTCATAGAACTTTGGAAGTCATTAACAAAAGGAGATGAGAAATTGAAGCCATGGAAATAGATGGGAATATCCAGAGGGTGTGAAATGGAGTTCAGGCTTCTTGGGTCTTTGTGTGGTGAGTGGGAATGTCCTGGGGTAGAAGGGGTTGACAGGCTTCAATCTTTAGTTGCATCCTAATGGTTACTGAGGCACACTTCCTTTGTGGATATGGTACTCAGATGCTAAGAGGATTCACCCACGTGGCCCCAAATGATTCCACCTTGTCCTAGACCATTCTCTCTTCTATTTTTTCTTTAAGGACTCTCCAAACAGATCAGTTAAATCTATTTTGTATTGTAGGTTTCACTTTTCCTCTCTCTACCAATAATTTCACAAGTCTACCAATAATTTCACAAGTCTTAAAGGAAGGGATGTTTAGCAAGCTGCAGCTTCTGCATGGTTTTGAGCTCATTGTTCTTGTTTTAATATAGATATTTACATTAGTAAGCTTGTTTTGATCGATACTAAGTCAGATAGTTTTATTATATGTTAATTCTTGTTAGTCCAGTATTTACTTCTAGAACTTTGAATAGGTGCATAAAGAAATTTTTGAGAAATATCTCAGAAGTAAAATGATTTATTTCTAGATCCCTTCGGAGATAGGGATATAAAGAAAATGGCTTTATAATAAGATTCTGTGCCCTCAGCCATGTGATTCTTGAGCTTACATATWGTTTTCCTGTGCTCCCCTGTAAACTTTGATGTCCGTTTATTTGTGTAACAGGTAGTGAATTTTCTTCCCTCAGGGGCCACACTGTGAAGGCAGTATGTGAGTCGTTCCACTTGGCCAAAGATTCCGGATTCAAAGTTGTGGCTCATATGATGCCTGATCTGCCAAACGTGGGACTAGAAAGAGACATTGAGCAGTTTACAGTAAGTGTACCCTTCGCCCAGGCCAATGTGGGATGCCTCTGCGTGCTCCTCATACCCTCTTTTGTAATGATGCAGCACCTCCTCACTGTAGAACGGTAGAAACACAAAAGAGAAGTCCCCTAGAGCCCAGACGCACTCTGTTTTGTATGTTCTTCCCAGGATCTTTTAATGCTTAGGCTTTCTTAGGGCTGAGGTTGTTTATGCACATATGACACCAGCACCCTTATGCTTAGTTGTGTAGAGATGGTAATTCTTTCATAGCTTTTTCACTTAACATTGTAAGAATAATTTATCCAGTTGCATCCTGATTTCTGTTAAGATGTTTACATGTTAAATGTCTGTTAACGTAATCTGTCATGCTTTGCTTCACTACTTCCAAAGCTCTCAAAATTTAGGACATTACCAGTTTTCGATACTATGAATAACCCTGTAGATAAACAACTTTATAACTTTTTATAGCATTTAGGTTTATTTCTCTTGTATCAGGGATTGAACTCAGAGGCACTTGACCACTGAGCCACATCCCCAGCCCTGTTTTGTATTTTATTTAGAGACAGGGTCTCACTGAGTTGCTTAGTGCCTCACTTTGGCTGAGGCTGGCTTTGAACTCATGATCCTCCTGCCTCAGTCTACCGAGCTGCTGGGATTGCAAGCGTGCACCACTGCACCCGGCTAGGTTTATTTCTTTATGATAAATTCATTGGAGTACAATTATCTAATGAAGGTATGAACATTTTAAGAATCTCACTGTATTACTCAGTTGCTTTTCAGAGGTTTCTAACAGTTTTGCATCATTTTCAGTAGGACTTCCTTTTTCCCCAAATAATCCTCTTGTGTTTACTTTCTATATGTATATATATAAACATGAAAGACATGTAATTAGTAAATACAACCCAAAAATATAATTTAAGAATGTAAGTTTAAGTGGCACTTTTATCCATTAAATTAATTGTATTTTTGGATTGTATTTACTAATTACATGTCTTTCATGTTTTGGAATTGTTTTCTCCTCTGACCAATTATTCTATTAGGATATGAATGCTTTTTTTCCCCCCATGGGTTTTGGGGATTTAACCCAGGGCCTTGTGCACGTTAGGAAAGTGCTCCACCACTGAACTATGTCCTCAACCCAGGATATGAATATTTTTATTTTAATTTCATGATTTTTTTTTCAGTAAAGATATTATGGGCTCGTTTTTTTATATTTGTTGCATGTATTTTCTCCAACCTATTGTGGTCTTATCTTTTCCTTCATTTGTCAAACTGATCTTTTTTTTTTCTAGCTTCTGAGCTTAGACTGCCTTTCTGTTTTCTTCTAACCTTTCAGTTCTTTGAATTTTAATATGTAACTGTAACTTTGAGGTTTGTTGGTTTGTTTGTTTACTCTGATAGTTTCATGTTCCATGTTAATTTTGTTTGGGGAAATGAGATTGGTTGGGCCTTTTGTTTTTCTTTGAATTTTCAAACAAGGAAAGTATGTTTTAGGGATATCCTTTTAGAGAAAAGACAATATTTATCAAGTTATGTCATCTACAAAAATATTTTTATTTTGCTCTGTTCAGAAAGTGGAGTTCATTTTATGTTACATGTAAAGTTATTGATTCTCCCTTTCCTTTTAAAGTTAATTTTTATTATTTGTCAAGTTATTAGACTACAGTTGAAGCCTGTTTTCAAGATTGCATTAATTCACAGATATCCCTGTTAATAATCCCCCATCTTGATTGTGATAGAAAACTGTTCAGATTCTGCTAAAACTAAATGTATCTTGCATGGCCCAGCAAATCTCACACAGGTACACCCAACAGAGGTGTGTGTAATATCATCAAATTACCTGAATGTTCATTAGCAGTACAGTCCATAAATATTGATGTAATCATGTGAGGAAATAAGAATGAACTAATTACAACTTCATGCAACAACATGGCCAATTCTATTCAACATAACATTAAGCACTGGAAGTCAAATTCAGAAGACTACCTAGCACACAAAGCCATTCGTGTGAACAGAAACTTTGGGTGAAGTTTGGTAACTGTTTCCTGTTTGGTAACTGGAAATAGGTATAAGGTGGAATTGTGAGATTCTGATAATGTTCTTTATCTTGAATTGAGTGACTAGATGTTAGTTATAAGCTTTGTAAAAATTGTCAAGATGTGCACTTATGATTTGTATATTTTTCTGTAAAAACCTAATAGAAAGTCTACATGAAAAGTGGGTTTTTTGCTTAGAAAATCTTGTTTGGCCTATTTGAAATTCACAACTTATTCTGACCTAATAGGCACTGATTTTTGCATTTTTTAAAAAAAATTTTTTTAGTTGTACAAGGACACAATACCTTTGTTTTATTTATTTATTTATTTATTTATTTATTTATTTTATATAGTGCTGAGGATTGAATCCAGGGCCTCACATATGCTAGGCGAGCACTCTGCCACTGAGCCACAACCCCAGCCCCTGATTTTTGCATTTAAAAAAAATGTTTTTCCCCCTGCTTTGTCACATTTGCCCAGAATTCCTTATTAACAACCACAGATGTATTTCCTTCAATGTGTTTTGTTCCATGAAAAGGGTTGCTAAGTCAAGTGTCTGCTTGTGTAATTGCACAAGTCTGCAACATTTTATCTCTGCAGAGGATGAATCACCTTGCCTGGTATGGGTCCATCAAACCGCTGCCCAGCCCACTAAGATGTAGTTAAGCTGCATGTGTTAGTTAAGTGGCTTATTGTGTAGGTCAGTTCTGTATCACTAAGAGTGTAATCATGTTCATTTGCATCAGTTTCTTGTAAATTCACATTTTTAAAAAATTGACACCTAAAAATTGCATTTATTTCTAAGATAACATGTCATGTTTCAGTATAAGTATGCATTGTATTATGTCCAAGTTAGGGTAAATATTATGTGTCTCCTCAAATATTTATTATTTCTTTGTGGTAAAAATATTCAAAATCTTTTCTTCTAGCTTTTGTGGACTATATAGTATACTGTCATTATCTTTGGTCTCCCTACTGTGTAGTAGAACCCCAGAAATTATTTTTTTCACATTCTTAGATAATGGTAAGTACAGTGATTATAGCTATATGTTATAATAACAGCTGCTTATATTTTCCAATAACTCAGATTTTTTTCCCTTATTTTTATTGGTACATTATGGTTGTACATAGGATGGGATTTGTTGTTACATATCCACACATGCACACAATATAATAATATGGTATGGCCAGTATCACTCCTCAGCACTTCCCCCCTCCCTTTCCACCCCTCACCTTCTGGTCCCTTTCCTTTACTGATCTCCCTTTGATTTTCATGAAATTCACTCCCACCTTTCTTTTCCTTTTCCTCTCTAGCTTCCCCATGTAAACAAAATCATACAACCCTGACCTCCTGAGTTTTGACTTATTTCGCTTAACATTGTGGTCTCTAGTTCCATCCATTTTCCAACAAATGGCATAGTTTCATTCTTCTTTATGGCTGAATAAAACTCCATTGTGTATATATGCCACATTTTCTTTATGCATTCGTCCATTGATGGACACCAAGGCTAGTTTCATAGTTTAGCTACTGTGAATTGTGCTGCCATAAACATGGTATGCATGTGTCACTATAGTAAGATGACTTGATCAGATTTATTTTTCTTATAAAGCTGAAAGTCTCTCTTTTTTTTGATGGCGAATATTTAACATCAAGGAATTTATCTGATATTCATTATCTTCATCCTTCCCATTTATCCTCAGTCAGGGCCTATTTGTTACTCAAAGTAACTTTTAGCTGTTTTGGTATTTTATTCTTTTAAAAATTAGAGTACTCCTGCATGACCAAGCTAAGGATTACTGAAAATGTTCAAACAGTGTTTCCTTCTTTTGAGGAATAATTTATCTCCAGCAATCTTTTAATAATTAGAAATCTTTTAGTCTTAGTTAAAATTTTTCCTGCTCTTGTGATACTCAGCAGTTCTTTCGTCTTCATTGAGCTGTTTCCCCCAAAAAGCCAAAGCAGTGAAGTCAGAGTTTAGCCGGGGTGGCTGTAGTGTTTGTTTGTTGTTTTTTAATGTAAAAGCTTATCACTGAAAGTGGTATCATGGAGTAGAGTTACTACAGATTTTACAGCAGAAAAAACCACCTGGAGTAGCCTCAGCAGAGGAGGAAGCTGGGCCTTAGGAGGTTAAGGAACTACAGGGTCAGCACTCTTGCCCTGCCTGCCTGAGTTTGCCTCTCAGGTAAGGCAGTCTGATTTACTGTGAATGACTGCATGTGGCCTGAATGATCCATAGGAAATCCTCAGCAATAAGGTCATAGATCTACTTCAAAACTCCCTCTTTTTTTTCAGTTATTTTTTATTTGTATCAGAATAAACTATGAAAGTCTAAATGTAGTGAAAAGTAGGACCCTTTCTCCTTAACTGAGTATAGCCTGTTTCTTACAAATGCCCCAGCTCCTGTTGCCTCACCTCCCTAGGCTGAGGCKAATTACAGTCTCACCTCTTAGGAAGATTAACTGAGTACACAGGAAATGCCTGGCACATCATACCAGCAGCTGCTTTCATTCCCCTCCTATCCTGAGCTGTTCAACAGGAGGTCCTGTGCATTGCCCCTCTGAGTATCTTTCTAGTCACCCACCCTCCTTTTCACCCCCATTGTGAAAGCTTGGGTTCAGGCTTTCTTTAGGTCCCCTGCTCTTCCTAACTAGTCACCCTGCTGCCAGCCATGTTCTCTTCCTGTGTGTCATTCACATGGCCACCAGACTCATCACTGTTAAATTCATGTTTATCTTTATTATATATTATGTAATAAAAGCTTTGATAAATAATATTTGAAAATCCAATAATACTAAAAAGAGTATATCAAAGAGTAGGAGTCCTCTGCTGTTCTCAAGTTTCATAGGTGGGTTTTGTTTTTCTTTTTCTCGTATTTACCTCTACATTTCTTAATCCTGTACTTAGATTGCTGTTTCTTGATTTATCAATTTTAGGTAGATCACTTGTTTTGCTGTTATGATAGTTGAAAATTTAATACGTTTATCCTTTCTTCCTGTTCTTCCAACATTTTTATATCACTTTTTAAAGTTATATTACTAGTCAGTGTTTACATTTTAATTTCTACATACATTATTGTTCACATACAAGTAATGTACTATACCTACTTATTATGTAATTGTACATACTTAGCCAAAAATGACAGGAAAATTTCATGAGTGACCTAATTTATTTCTAGGATTACCAGTTGCCTTACTTGTTCTTTTTTTTAACTTTTTTTTAATTTTTAGTTGTAGGTGGACACCTTTATTTTATTTTTATATGGTGCTGAGGATCGAACCCAATGCCTCACACATGCTAGGCAAGCATTCTACCTCTGAGCCCCAGCCCCATCCCATTACTTGTTCTTTTTAACTTCTGCAGTATTCTGTGTACCTGTAACTTTCAAATTTATCCATGCAATGTTAAAGCCCCCTCTCAGTGGATTATCTTGTCACACAGATATTCTTAGTTCCTTTTTAGTGTTAGTAAGGTCTTAGCTCCTAGAGACTTACCTCTCACGGGTCCTATCTTCCAGCTCCAAAATGGACTAGAAAGCTCTTTCTCATACACAAGTATATTCTTCGGGCTTTTTTGCTTTCTTGCCTCAGATCCTTTGTTTTTGAGACCTCAGATTATCTTCTTTATTTTCTCCTTCATTTTTCTGCAGCACATTTTCCAACAGAAATTTTTCCTTTAAAAAAAAAATCACCATGGTAAGTAAATCTTTTGCATGTTAAAAATGTCAGTCTACTTTGCACAGAATTCAAGGAAGAGAATTGTTTTCCCTCAGATTTTTCTAGGGAATTACACTAGTGTTTTTTGGTTATTAACATAACTCTTATGGAACCCAATATTTTGATTCCTAGTCCTATATTTCTTAGTCATTTTTTTAAGATCAATGTGATTTTTTAATGCCTTTATTTTATTTATTTTTATATGGTGCTGAGGATCGAACCCAGCACCTCGCACATGCTAGGCGAGTGCTCTACTGCTGAGCCCCAGACCCAACCCCTATATTCCTTAGTCTTTAATCTTAAAATGTATATACCCTAGATTCTTATGTTTTCTCTTTTGCATCTATTTTTTTTCCTTATTCTGCTTTTCTACTATTTTCTCAACTTCACCTTTCAACCTTTGTACTAAATGCTTTTTTTTTTTGTAGTTTTAATTTCTTATATCTTGGTGGTTTGATTTTTTTTAATAGCATCCTGTTCTTATTTATAGAGGTAATGGATTTTTTTTATCTCACTGAAGGAATTATAGTTGTTTTTTTTTTCTTTATGTAATACGTCTATTTCCATTTTTTTTCTTATTCTTTTGATGTTCTGTCATGTCCTGGGCTTTCCCCAACTTTCTGGTGATCCTTACTCAAATGTTCATGCTCTAAGAATGAAAGGCTGAAAAACAGATTGCAAGCTGTGAGTGGCTGGCCACTGGTATGCATCACTGAAAAATGTTCATGTAATAAACTCTTCTTTAGAAGATTCCTAATGTCAGTATCTTGAACCCTTATGTAGGACCATTTGGTAAATCCAGAGATGAACTCTCCAGTTCTTACTTTACTGGTGGGTGGCAAGGGTAAGTCACAGGAAATTGGCTGCTGGCATCCACAGAGCAGGGAAGAGGCTTCACCAGTAAATATGTTGGCTTTCCTCCCATTATCAGCCTTGGCACTCACCCAGGCCTTTCTTTGGGCCTGGAATGTTGGAGTACAGAGGCCCTCTAACTCTCCAGGGAATGAACCTTCTCTTCTGCTTGTACAGGAGTAAGGGATAAATCCCTCTCTGCAGACTCTGATCCGGTGCCCCTTTTCTATTTCCATGTCTTCCTTTCATCCTGCTCAGTTCCTGGTACTTCTGATCTTTAAGCCTTTCTGGGACTCTCGTGTGACTGAGTAGCCTTTCACTAGTATCTCCTTAGTAGTTTTCTTCACTTGCAAAGCCGTTTAGAGTTTTCCATTCATATTCCATTTTCAACAAATATGCTGCCATCATTTTTCCCCACTCTTGTCTCCTTTGCTCTCTTTATTCTTGTAACTTTATACATCTTTAAGATCTTTGGTGTTATTTTATTGTGGTTTTGGAGGGAGAGAAACACATTTTATATGTTTAACATTTTCTTTGTTTAACCAAAATCCCAGAATCAATTGAATCTGTCTTTATTTTTACAAAAGGAGTGTTATCAGTTTACATGTCTCCAGGAACCTGAAGTAGTTTTCTGAAGCCTGATGTTCAAAGGTGGATTCTGTCTAAGTGGAGATTGCTTTCTTATATGCTGTTTTTAGGTGGCTAGAATATATATTAAACACCTAATGAATCTTTAAAATATATGTTATAGAGAAAATTACAGAAGAATATCTATAAGACCATGTGGTGCATAAAGAATAGAGCATTTTAGAGTGCCAAATCAATGAGAAAGATCAAAAACTCTACTTGCATTTATTTGAAGAGCAAATTAAACAATGGAATGTTTTGCAAGAATAATGTTACAAAAGATTTTTTAAAAACATGCAAAATCAAGATTAGAGCAAAGTCATGTCAAGGAGAATGGCTCATATTTCTTGCTGCATCCCAAGTAAAGAAATAAGGCAGCCAGTGGGGACGTTGCAGTACAAAACATGACCATGTCAAAAGCAGATGAATTAGACGTATTACTCAGCGTCCAGAAAACAAATGGACAGTGTGCAGCCCAAATTAAGGATGATGCTAATTGGCCTGAAAAACAGGATGAAATAGTTAATCTAGAGATCAGCCAGCTTTTCTATAAAGGGCTGTGTAACAAACATGGTAGGTTTTTATAAGCCAGATGGGCTTTGTCACAATTTTGTTTCTTCCCTTTTTTCCTTTTTTGTTGTAACCTTTGTTTTTGTGAAAACTTTTTAAAAGTTTATATAATTAAATATATTGCATTATTAAAGAAGGCTATAGTCTGGAAGTAAAAGACATGATTTAAATTGTCAGGATGATGCTGTTACAAAAGACGTAATACAGAGTTCATTATTATTWTTTTTTTTTAAGTGGGGCAGCTAGTGTTTGAAGGTCAGGAGGGCCTTTGATGAGTAGCCATCAGGCTGAGACATGAAGTTAGCTGGATGAAAAAAACAGTGAGCTTTGCAGTCAGAGGGAATTGCCTTTGCAAAGGTAAAGGGCCAGAGATCAGATGGCAGCCATAGATGTGGATGGATGAGTAGACCCCTGGTCCAGCACACATGTGTTCTGCTCCAGGGAGGCTGAGGGAACAATGAGTTCCTGTCCTGTCCATGTACAGAAATGAAGGGCAGCCTCGGGGCCTGCTGGAGTGTGTGAGAAGCTGGTCCAGGATTGAGACTTCACCGTGGGTGATTCTTGTATAAGAAATGGAAGAATCAGTTTGTGTTCTGTATTCACAGGAGTTTTTTGAGAACCCTGCTTTTCGTCCTGATGGTTTGAAGCTCTACCCTACCCTGGTCATTCGTGGAACTGGGCTGTACGAGCTTTGGAAATCGGGAAGATACAAGAGTTATTCTCCTAGTGACCTGATTGAACTGGTGGCTCGAATCCTAGCCCTTGTGCCTCCATGGACTCGAGTGTACCGAGTGCAGAGGTAGGGTGTTGTCTTTTATTCCCAAGATAATTGGTGACTATCTTAATAATTTCTAACAGAAATAGTCTGATTTCATATTGAGGGTGATTTTTTTTTAATTAAAATATCTGGAATGCTCTGTGTAAGTAGAGAGGGAGGGAAGCCAAAGTACAACATGCCCAGCCACACTGTTGGTACCTATTTATTCATCCCTCCATTTGTTCATGAGCCCGGAGATGTTGTCATGAAGGCTAGTAGGCATGGTATTTGCATCTAAGGAGCTTATGGTCGGCGTGCAGGTTTCCTCTGGCAGGACTGCTTTAGTGTGGATGATGTAACGGGAATGCGAGGAGCGTAGCCATGTCTGGAGCCTCAAGAAAAGGAAGCTGCGTCGTTCTATATAGATAGTTCATGTGTACATGGAGAACAGATGGCAATTCTGGATGGCAGGAAGAAAGTTAGATGATTTGTTTCTTCCGAGGAGAGAAAAGTAAACCATTTATAGTTGTATACCTTTAATAATTGTTTAAAACTAGGATTATAACATTGAAAAAAGCTTTGATACTGTAAAGTTACCTGTGTATCTCCTATCCTAACAAAGTTATTCCTGAACTTTTTTAGTCTATATGATACATTCCCCCCACCCTGCCCAAAACTGCCCATGTTCCCCTATAATACGTTTAAGGCCAAAGGTGACAGGTAAATGGGAGCACAGCCAGCTCCTGAGCACCAAATCATGTCATGGGTTACGTGGAACTGTGAATGCTAAGAACAGGCTACTTAAGGAAAGAAAAGTATCAGCTACTTAAGGAAAATTATTAAGAGTACAAATAAAATAATGGATTCTCTTAATGGGTCAAAGGATATTTACACTGTACTTTTGGTACGGCGTATTGATTTCTCAAAATTTGTAAATCAGTAGTCTAATTCTAGGTTCTAAATTGCCTGTATGATCTCTTATTTTTAGAAATATAACAGGAAAATATTCAGGAGATAGTACATAGAAAAGTTGGCTATTAACATCACCTATATTGTCTTTTCCTTTCTTTTTAGCCTTTCTGGAAAAATTAAGTAAGAAAGACATTAGATGGGCCCAAGCAACATAGGCGTCCATATGTTGGGGGGATTTTGAAGGGAGTGTGGTGCCTCAAGCGGAGCAAGCTAATGGAGTGTGTATGGTGCACGGGGCTTTCACTCCTCAGAGAGCCAGTCTGGAACAATGTCATAGTGGAGCAGGGTATGGAGGATGTCTCTGGTGGGGAGAGCAGTACAAAGAAGAGGGGATAGAAACAAAAGATTGGTTACTTAGGGGAGTTGATCAAATGAGTAGATATATTAAGGATGATAGGTGCTCAATTTTTTGAGGCGGGTAGGGGCGGATACCAGGGATTGAACTCTAGGGGCACCACCTAGCCATATCCCCAGCCCTATATTGTATTTTATTTAGAGACAGGGTCTCACTGAATTGCTTAGCACCTCACTAAATTGCTGAAGCTGGCTTTGAACTCACAATCCTCCTGCCTCAGCCTCACAAGCTGCTGGGATTACAGGAGTGCACTACCATACTCGGCCTAGATAACTGTTCAATTTTTTATCTGAGAAAGCAGTTACACATGTGAAAAAGAAGAAAATTCAAGTGAATGTTGTGATTTTGGAAAGAAGGTACAGGTATGAACTCATGATTCTCAACGTATAAGTAGATACAAATGTAACAAATAACAATAAATACAGTGTGTGTCCAAGGTGGGTTTACAGCAGTGAGCATGCCAGTTTCCAGATCTTGGTTTCTAAATAGCCTGCTCAGCTAAAAAGAGCTAGAGCTCCTTGGAGAAATGGCTGATTGTAGCACTTGGGCAAAGAAAGTACAAGATGAACCTAGAACCCTTTATGCCAGGAAGTAAAGAAGTGTTCAAAGAGTGATGAGGAAGCCAGCTTGAGGGCTCCCGTTGGCCAAATTTGAACAGCAAAATAAGCATTGATATTAACAGATTACAACCAACTAAATAAAATAAGAATTCACGAGTCCATGGTGATGTACCTAATGAGATCAATGATTTGTAAGTGTGAGTCAAGAACATAATATCAACAGTCAATCTTAAGTATAAGCAGATTCCATATTTGCATATTTGCCTACTTCATGATAAAATCTGTGRCTCAAAATCAATACTTTCGGTTCTTTGGCCACAAATTATTCTCAAACATGAAGAGCAGTGAAAAAATTGAGTCACCCCCAAACATGTTCTCAGCCAAGGTCAAACAAGGCGATGCTCTGTCTTCCTTTTCTAGTTCTCACACTGTGATCTGGTGTTCCTTTTATGGTTTTACTTAGTGCTACATTTTTAAAAATTTCGTCCAGTTTATTAGGGATTTGCTCTTTAAAACAGCCCCCAAACAGTGTTAAAGTCCTGTCTGTTGCTCCTGAATGCAGAAAGACGGTGCTCTGCCTTATGGAGAGGAACACTTGGTCCAGAGCTGCTAGCCATGAGTTCAGTAAATATAAAGCCACAATATATGATATTCAGTCACAGTATACATTTAAATAAAGTGCCTTGAAAGACATAAATCAAAATTATGTATTAATGAATGACAGACATAATATGGCCAGAGGCTCACAGGAATCCAATGCTCTATTTTCCATAGCATCAGGGACTCAGGGTTTTCTTCTTTGGTGTTGGTGGTAACTTTGAAGAACATAATTACCTACCAATTACTTACTGCCTACTAACCTGATGAGAATTGACTGTACACACAATATATTAAAAACAAAGTGGAAAGAATAACTTGACAGCTGATCACAGTGAACATTATCAGAAATTGTGTAAAGCACAGTCATGTGCCACCTGCTAGGACAGGTTGAGAACACAGTGTCACCTCTATGTTCTTCAGTCAGAAGTCCATCCCTGCATTTAATCAGGAGGCAACACTGACAACCCAAATGGAGGAACATTCTAAAAAATAACTGGCCTGTCATTTTGAAAGTATTACAATCAGGGCATTGGGTTCCATTTCGGAGACTAAAGAAACTTGACAGTTACAATACAGTCTTCTGAAGTGGGTGCTTTTGCTGTGCTTTTTGAAATCCTGAAGAAACTCAAATGGAGTCAAAGATTAGACAGTAGGGAAGAATCAATGTTAATGTCCTGATTTAGATGGTTGTTTTGTCGCTTTGTAATAGAATATCCTTGTAGGAAATGCTTAAAGTATTCTGAGTGTTGGTACATGTCATTCACCACTTACTTTCAAATAGTTCAGGAAAATAGTTACTTGCATTTTTTCTGTGACTTTGAAATTTTCTTTTTCAAAAAAATTGTTTCCGCAGAAGGAAACAAAGATGCAATAAATAGTATTAGTAGAGACAGAAGAAAAAGGTCATTGATGTTTAACTGACGTGTACTACCAGAGAAGAGTGAGGACACATTGTGACAGCAGCTGTCACAGAATAGACATCCAGAGAACCAGTCTTTCCCAGTGTGGCTGGCGTGGATCACAGGAGAGAATGTGCTCTTTTCCTCTAAAGTTTTCAGCTTGAAATTTCTCACTGCTACAACCAGCAAGTCAAGAGTAACAAGAGACATTAAAAGCTTATTTTTACAGACACTGTGAAATATTACTAGAGTCATTATCCTGGCCTACCCACAATTGAGAAAACAAGGATTCAGAGGAACAAAGGCAGCAGATCTCAGCTAAAACATCTGAGGGAGGTGCTGCCAGATATACCCACACGTGAGGTTGTTCCACAGATACAGGGCTGAGCTAAGACCTGAAGGAGAGCGGTGCAGCAAGAGGTAGTGTGAAGTCTTTTTAAAAGTGTGAAGTTAGTAATGTCCTGCGCGGGTCTGGTTTGAAGAGAGTGATGACTAACAGCAAGTGTGCTGGCCAATCCTGCAGTCCACTTTGGGCTGACCAGCGACTTAACTTTAAAGGTGATCCTTTGCTAGAATGTTTAGTACAAAGACAAAAAAATCTTTATAGTGCTGTCCAATTTATTTTTTATATTTTTGATGCTCTTAATATAACTTATATTTATTGTTACACAAGTTTACATTAGAATTCATTGGGTTGGTTTTTTTTTTTAATGTAGTTTACAGTAGACTGTTATTCAATAGAGCATTTTCTTTTTGGTAAGCATGAGAAGAATTCCTTCAAATATATTATTTGATGTTTTGCATTGGATATTGCTGAACTGTTAAAGGTGCTATCTAGGAATTCATATTTATTATATAATTTACTATTTACTTTGTATATATAGTTGGCCTTTCATATGGGGAAAAAACTATCTGTAATGAACACGGGTAGAATTTTTTTCTTGACATTTCCCCCTAAATGATACTGAATAACAGATATTTACATAGACATTATATTAGGCATCAGAACCATCTGGAGATGATTCAAAGTCTACATGAGGTTATACATCTGTATATCACAGCATTTGATACGAGGGACTTGAGCATCTGCAAATTGGACTATCTATGGGGAATCCTGAAACCAGTCCCTCACAGATAATGAGGAATGACTACACTACATTAAAAAATGATTCATGTTTAACTTATACTCTGACTTGCTTTTTGCTCAGTAATCACTGAAATTTTAGACTAGGTTTGTGCAGTGCCAAGGTAGCCTGAAGATCTCATTTACTAGTGAATGCCTAGAGCCAAGTGTTTCTGCTGTGTACCACTATCAGGTGACCTCCATACATTTCTTATTTAATCAAGTCCTCTTATACTTTATTTCCAACAGTTTATAATATACTACTAATATCCAGAATTTATATTTTCTTCCTCCCTTCTGGTCATATGGAGATATATATATATATATATATATATATATATATATATTCTATAAAACTACTTCAATATATGTGTTAACAACAAGGTCATGTTATTTTTCCAGAAATTTTCTTGTATGTTTGGGATGCATCTTACATGGCAGTACATTTTATATGCTGGCAAATATGCTATTTGTGTTTTTGCATTCTAGTTCTTATTAAAGACATGTTAAGTGATATAAACCAGGTACAGAAA